TACTTGTTGCCTTCCTCTAGCTCTTCCCCTAGCTCTTCCCCTGCCTCTTCCTTTCCCTTGGTTGCTAGCACCAGCATTTTCAGTTGCTCCACCAGACCTGCCCCATCCTCTCCCGCCTGATCCCCTACCTCTCCCATCTGATCCCCTACCTCTAGCACCTTGCCCCCCAAGTATCATCCTATTACCCCTGCCTAGCTGAGTGGGTTGTGCTGTTGTACTATGACGGACTGATGAACCTGGCAATGTGGTTGAAGTAGAAGCAATCTGTGATGGCTGGGAAGGAGTAGCAGCAGCATCTGTTGTTGCTTCTTTTCTTAGCCTTCCCTGTGGCCTTTTTGCAAGTGGCTCTGTAGGAACATAGCTTCATTTGTCTGGACGGCTTCTCTTGTTGTGGCCCTTATTTTGACAAATGCTACATGTCATTTCAATCCCTGACCTAGACAATGATCCTGGCTTCTTTGTTGATTCTTCAGGGTGTTTGATCCTATTTTTTCTAGGCCTACCAGGCCCAATTTTGATGGGAGGTGGGTCTAAATTGCAAGGGACTCTTGGCCAGTACCTTTCTCCTTCACAAGGTGGTATTGTACCACTGTATACCTTGGAGTAGGTTTCAACTTTATAGCAATCATCAACATAGTCCTCAGCAACTTTGTTTTGAAAATAAATACAAGCTATTGCATGGCAGCAAGGTATTCATACCATATTCCATTTCCTACAGCTACATGTTCTAGCAACTAAATCAACATTAACCTGATCTAAAATATGCCTCACATTGAATAACCTGTCAAAGGAAGGTAAGACATCACAATATGCAGCCTTCACTTTTTCTTTCTCTAATCTAGCCTGTATTCTAGGACAGAATACTCCAGTCCATTTTTCCATCTCCTTTCTTCTAGACACTAATCTCTGCATTAATGCAGCCCTAACATCTTCTAACATGTAGATTATGTGTTTTGTTCTTGCATAAATTATGTAGGCATTGAAAGTTTCTGCCATGTTATTAATAATGGCATCACTTTTCACATATTCATCAAGGTATGCTCTACAAAACACCTTAGGGTCATACCTCTTAAAAGCTAGGGCATCATCTGCATTCAACTTTGCCAAATCTTCCATTGCTTCCTCATAGTCTGCCCTGTTGTATGACTTAGCAATCCTCCAAAATAACAGCTTCATCTCATCACCCTTGTATGTCCTGTGCCAGTGGGCAAAAATATGCCTGACACAGTGCCTATGCTCTGCTTTTGGAAGCACAGCATTCACTGCATGTAATATAGCCTGCATTTAAGTCAACCAAAAAAGTCAGTCAGCTATGTCACACATTACAACACAGAGCCTATTCTAAAGCAAATAACATCAATGAAATGCCAAAGTCAAACCTGGTGTTCATCAGATAAGATTGCAACTCCACTCCCAACTCCAAGATCTAGGCAGGATTGCAAATGTGTGATAAACCAGACCCAAGACAAGTTGTTCTCCCCTTCAACAACTGCCCAACAAATTGGATACATCTGGTCATTAGGGTCCGTTCCTACTGCAGTCATTAACTGACCTCCTAGAAATGTTTTGAGAAAGGCAGCATCAATACAAATCACCCTCCTACAACCTGTCTTCCACCCTTCCTTCACTCCATCAAAACAGGTGAACAGCCTTTTGAACATTGGAATTGATGTGTTTGGTTGTGGATCAACAACCAAATCCAACACAGTCCCACTACTTACAAGCCTCAAAGCCTCAATGTATCTCTCCAATTTCATGTAATGTTCCTTCATTGATCCATGCAGCATCTTATGTGCATGATACTTCACCTTATAGGCAAAGTCCCTCCTGACAATCACTTTGTATGCTCTTCTAATTGTTTCAATTATCTCCTTAGCAGGCCAATGTGGCCTTGCTTTGAACACCTCCAGCATCTGACTTGCTACCCAAGAGGACTTGAGCTGCCTGTTTTTGTTCATGTTCCTGTGGCATGTATGAGATCCAACCACTCTCTTAACTAACCAGGTTGCATCCCTTGAATGCACAGAGCAATACACATAAAAGGGACAACTTCCCACACACTTCACTCCCAGTTGTTGCTTGTCTTTATTGCTGATGATGTACCTCAGATCCCTCCCCTGCATCACTGCATACTTGCTCACAGCATCCTTAAAGTCTCCCCTATTAGCAAACCTCTGACCCACTTTCCATATGAATGCTGAAATCAGTGTCCCTCTTCACCAATTCACCCTTCTTAGGCTTGCTACAATCTTGACCCTCATCCTCACTTAGAAGTGGAGTGCTGATATCCTCTTCACTCTCCTCACTTTCACTGTTCAAACCCCCAAGTGGTGTTGGTTTAACAGTGGTTAGTATTTCCTTAGGTTGTTTGCCCAACTTCCCCTCACAAGCTTTCCTTTGCAACTGCTGAGCTATGTCAAGCAACTGTGAATTGCATTTGTTAACTCTCTCTCTTGCTTCTCTACAATCCTCATCTTCATCTTCAGATTCACCTTCAATGAAGTCAGTTTCTTCTAACTGCTCAGTTGGCTGTCCTGCATGTACTTCAACCTCCAGATCTATATCTTCCAAACTAAAATCTCCCTGTAATGGACTACCATCTACAACATAATCATCACCATCCTCCTCTTCATGCTCATAGCCCTCACAAAACTTCTGATACTCCAAATCAAATTCAGGATCTTCATCTGAACTAGACCCATCACCATCAGGTAATAGTTCACACAAAGTCAAAGGGCTGTCAGTTCTATCATCCTCCCACTCATAATCATCAAGAAACTGGGTGTTTATGTTTGACAAATCATCTGTGGTACAGTTTATGTTTCCCAAATCAGGTGTGGAAACAAACTCTACTGAAGGAAATTGAGACAGAGAGATTTGAGAAGGGCCTTTAGATTGGGGATCAGTTTGTTTCTCACTCAGATTTGGTTTTGAGGCTTTATCTTGAGTGGTTTGGTCAGTCAAAGAGGGGTGTGAAAGAGGATATTTAAAGGCAGATTTAGGTGTGGGGGAATCTTTACTTAAAGCAGATGGGGAGAGTACTTTAGGGGTTGAGGTGGAAGCATCATTCTGTTTCCTAGGGCTTCTCCTAGGTACATCCACCAGTTTTGTTTGTGGTCCCTTCTTTGGGGTCATCTTTTTCCTTATGTTGACTTTTCTGGGGTGGGGGTTTTCTTCTATTGTTGCTGCTGGTAGGATTGGGTTTGACACTTGTTCCACAACAGGTGGCTCAGTAGGTGAAAAGTGAGGGGGATCTCATGGTGTAGGAAATAACAGTCCACAGACCTAGGTTTTTTGGCAATCTCACTCAGCTCAAGCACTTCCTTATCTCCATCTATTTTCCTTAACTCATTCACTAAACTCAGCCCTGGCACTAAGTAATAAATTCCAGCCACAGATATATACCCACAATGATTAGCATAGTCAAGCAATTCCCAGTAACACAACTCAACAGTGTCCACAATAAAAGTCCTTCCTTCCCCTCCAACATACACCAACTCACCATTATTAACATTTTTAAAAGTACCACCATACCAGAATCGAATTGTCACAGTCGTATTAGAGGTTGACATTTTCATCTATGTGATTATGTTACAAACAACAAATTACTTTCTTCGAAATCAATTCAAGCATTTCAACATCAACATCATTATTTAAACAACAACATTTCAATCTATTACACTAACACATTAGTAATTTAACCCTAGATTTCAATATCAATCCACACATCACAATCCAAGTTATAAATCATCATCAACATAATTTAACCAAGCACCACAACACATCAGTAATTAAGACATATGTAATCGAAATTGTAGTTAAAAACCCAGCAAATTAATCAAATTTCACAATTATACACATCACATTCATATTTACCAAATATGGAAAACTTGATTTGGGGAGAATTCCATACCTTTTGGCGAAAATTGGGGACCAAGACTTGAACTTTCTCTTCTTCTACTCACTGGAACGTCGTTTTCAGGTAGATGGGGTTGGTTCGCAAAATTGATTGAAGCTCTTCAAGTTTGGTTGCATCGCCTTTAATGGAGAGACAGTACAGAGAAGAAGAGAGAGACAGAGAGCAAAAGGGAGGGAAGTGAATTAAAGCGCAAGAGAAGTAGTTGTGGGTATTAAATGCCACGTAAGATACTTTAGGAGGGAAATTAAAGTCAATCCTTTGACTTTGTCCCAAACAAGTCACAAACCGGTCACCTGTTTTTAGTTCTATTTCTGGAAGAAGTGCAACAAAGGTCATGTTATTTTGGAATAAATCAAAGGTTGTTTTATTTTTGGAAGATGAATGAAAGGTCATGTTATTCTTGACAATTTTTCCTTTTATTTATTTATCTACTACCTCCGTTTCATAAAATCTGCAACAATTTCCCAAAATGGAAACTACACATTATGTGCAACAAACCAAAAGTTTCCCCTTTTAGTAAATAATTTTGTGTGAAATTACCACTATACCCTTACTTAATTTTACTTAACTATAATAAATAACATATTAACTCTTTAACCCAAATTAATTTATCTATAATTAAAACCCTAACCCACATTCTCTCTCCTCCCTCACAACCCACATCCACCACCAACATCACCATTTTTTCTCTCTCCTCCCTCTGTACCACCACCAACAGCACGAAACCACCACCACCACCACTCAGATCAAGTCTCTCTATTTCCCACCAACAGCACACGAAACCACCATCAACAGCACGAAACCACCACCACCAGTCGCTACCTCAGTTTCCCTGTTCAAAATCGTCGTCGTTCACCCCTTTCACGTCACCCTGCCAATTTGCCGCCTCTTTCACCATTTTCAAAGCCGTCATCGTGCAATTTGGTTGGATTTGGGGGTCGTGCGATTAGGTTGGATTTGGGGGTCTGCAATTTGGTGGTCGTGCGACTGGGTGGGTTTGTTGGTGGTGGAAGTGAGGGTTTTGGTTCTTTGGTGGTGAGTTGGGGTTTTGGTTCGTTGGTGATTGGGTGGGTTTTTGGTGGTGGTGCGAGTTGGTTGGATGGGTTTAGGGAGGTGGTGCGAGTTGATTGGTGGTGGTGAGGTGGGGCTTCGTTCGTTGGTGGTCTAGTGCAGTGGTCTGGTGGTGGTGTGTGTTGGCTGGCTGGGTTTTGGGTGGTTGTGGTGGGGTTATTTTCTCTCTCATCCAATTAATCACATCCCCTATTGTTTACTAATCTTTGCTTAAGAAATTTTGCTTTGGGAAGTGTGCAAGCCCCTTTGTTGCAGATTTTATGAAACGAAGGTAGTATTTAATTTATGTATTTAGAGCCACAAAAAACAAATCATGAAAAGGGATTTGATTTCAGGTATTAAGAATCACCCTTCAAGAGTTTAACATTAACCTAGTTGTCCATCCACAAACTTGACTCTATGGAGCTTTACATGGATATATGTCAACAGTATAGATAGAGCTAGGTAGTACTCGTGTATGTTAACTCAGTACATCTATGTTAAAAATGGTTGATATTATAAAAATAGGGAAGTGATTAAAAATTAAATTAAAAAACCACAAGAAGCAAAATATTGCGTATAATTGAAATTATTACTGTAACAATGATTAGATAAACTTGGATATCAAACTAATTAACCAAATGGTAGAAAAAAAAAAATAGGCGGTGATTAAAAAAAAAAGAAATAGGCGAGATTACAATTCTTTTGGAGGGGAAAAAAGGTATCACTTTTAGGGCATGTTCTCATACGATTATTTTCAGTTCAGTTCAGCTCCTAATTTCCTTCTCTTTCAGTTCAGTTCAGTTTAACTCATTTCAATCAATGAGAACAGACCCTTAGTATAGTCGATATTGGACGGGCTGAGTAGTGTATTTACATTCAGCCTATTGGCCTTACGAAGTTATTGCTTTTTGAAAAAAAAATTGTCAACCAAACAAAAAAAATCAAAAGGGTTTCGGAAACAAACCCAGAAGCCGTTGAATACGTAATGAAAATTTAATTGACTAAATTGTACTTCCATTATTAACACTAATGCTGAAAAACTATTCCTTAAAAAGGGTTTCATTTTCATGAGGTCAAACTAACAACTAAGCTGAAATACTCCCATTTTATCCACTTCTTAAACAACAATATCACCTCATTTCTCTGAATCTTTGTACCACTTTTTCCAGATTTGATTATACATATCTAATCAACTAAAAAAACCCACCAAAAATCCAACTTTTTTTTCTTCTAATTTCTGCAAATTCAACCTGGGTTTGGTTTAGTTTGGTCTGGTTCTTTGAGTTGATTGACAAGAATGAGCTGTTGATCAAGTGGTTTTCGCCGTTTACGGTGAACGGAACAATAAGTGTAAGTATACGATAGCGTAAACGTTGAGAAGAACGACAACCTTAGTTTAAGTATGAATAGAGGAGGATCAGAAGGGGTTTCGCCGTTTACAGTGTCGCAGTGGCAAGAATTGGAGCATCAAGCTTTGATCTACAAGTATTTAATTGCTGGAGTTTCTATTCCACCAGATCTAGTTCTTCCTATTCAAAATAGCTTCGGAACTTCTTCTTCTGCATTTTTCCATCGCCCTACTTGTGAGTTTTTTGTACTTTTACATATTACTAATTAAACCCTTCTAATTTTTTATTTTTGTGATATTTCTGTTTGATAAAGTTTGGGTTTGTTTGTTTGTTTTTGGTTTGTTGGGATGTAGTGGATACCCTTTAATTTTAATTTGATTTTTACAAATTTTCTAATTGATAAAGTTTTTATTTTTATTGAATTTGGTATTTATGAAATTTCTGATTGATAGATTTTGGTTTTGTTTGTTTTGGCTTGTTGGGGTTGTACTGGGATACTCATTAATTTTAATTTGATTTTTATGAAATTTTTGGTTGATAGTTATTGATTTTGTTGGTATTGGTTTGTTGGGAAGATAGTAGGAAACCTAATAATTTTAATTTGATTTCTATGAATTTTGTGGGTGATAGTTATTGAATTTGTTTGTTTTGATTTGTTGGAATTGTGCTGGAATATTTACTAATATGATTTTATTTTTATTTTTTTAAATGAATGTTTTGGTTGATTGTTATTAATGTTGTTTGCTTTGGATATGGTTGATTGTTGGGGTTGTACTGGGGTTGCCCACTAATTGTAATTTCGTTTTTATGAAATTTCTGGCTGACAGTATTGGTTTTGTTTGTTTTGGTTTGCTGGGGATGTACAGCAATGCCCACTGAGTTTAATTTAAGTTTATCTAATTTTTTGTTGATAGTTATTGATGTTTGTTTTGGTTGATTGTTGCGGAGATATACTGAGATACCCACTAATTTAATTTGATTTTATGAAATTTTTGGCTGATAGTTATTGATGTTGTTTGTTTTGGTTTGGTTTGGGATGCACTGATGCAGTGGGATATTGTGGTAGAGAGAATTCTTTGTATGGCATTGGAATTGGGCTTGGTTATGGAAAGAAGATAGATCCCGAACCGGGTAGATGTAGAAGAACTGATGGTAAGAAATGGCGGTGCGCCAAAGAAGCCTACCCGGACTCTAAGTATTGCGAGCGCCACATGAACCGTGGCCGCAGCCGTTCAAGAAAGCATGTGGAATCCAATCCTTTCTCCTCCTCTTCGTCGACGACGGCTTCTGTGTCGTCTCTAAACCAAAGCCTTCCCCTCAAATTCAATGCATTTGCATCTGCTAGTAATGCTGCTTCACCAACTTCGAATCCAAATCAATCACAATTTCAATTGGATTCTATCCCTTATGCCATTCCCACCAAACAATACAACAGGTATACATTCATCCATACTAATTTAGTAATTTGATGCCTTTTGCTCTATGGTACCATTATCATTATTGCACTATACAACTGTTGCCATTGGCTTTCTTTATTTGGCAATATTGGCTACTGTATATATACATGATTGCTTTGCGATGTGTATTATTTCGATGTGCATTTACATATTATTGGAACTGGTCTTTTTAGTGTGTGCTGATCTAAGAATGTTGTTCCTATAATTTTTAAGTAATTTTGTGTTCTTTAAAAGTTGCTCATTTTGTTGAAAGTTAATTTTAAACTCTCCATCACCATATCACATAACATCGGAGAAACTTTCCCATGCTCCCAGCACTCATTAATCCTCACCTGCTTAAATTCTTACTTTCATTTTCACCACTACTTCAGAGAGAAGACTCGCACAGAAAACCCAAATTAGGCTCAGACTTAAGGCTCTTAGATTGCCCTTCCACAGTTCCGCAATTCTTATTGAGTTATAGTCAAGAAACAGATAAGACTTTCTTGTTCTACTTAATTGACAGTTTTAGACCATTAATTTGAAAGTCGGATTTATAACCCCCTTCCCTAACTCACAATGCAATTGATTTAGCTTCAATGTTGATACTATCATAAACTGTCATTTCTATATAACTTCATCACAAATTGCACTGCCTTTATCTCCAGTGTCCTCTTTGTACAGCCTAAAGGTTTTAACAGAATGAAAAAACAGCCGGGGACAAGCAAAAAAATTGCTGCTCAGGACTCCCAGTTTGAGCAGAGAAGAAAGAGGTTATTGAAGATGATGATAATAGGGGCAGAAAACTGTGTAGCTGTCTTTGAATTAGGGCCATTCCTCCTCTTCATTCATCTATATTCTTTCTTTTGGCTTTGTGAGACATGCATTGTTTTAACTCCAAGATATGTCAACCAAGTGCTTTTCTGTGTCTCAAATTGTTGTGCTTGCAGAATGCCTCCTAAGTCTTGCCTGAGTCACTTTATTTAATTTAGATTTAAATAATTCTTATGTTTCAAATTTCCGCTTTATATGGTGGATATTGTGGGATATGTGTGTAAGAAAGAAGCTGAATTATTTCAATTTTCAGCTTTTTATGGTAATGGATATCTTGGGAGATATATGAAAGTGAGGATTAACGGCTTAATTTCAAGCAGATAGAGTACTTAATCTTTTTGGAAACATCACTTTCTTATTACCTTCTATCTGCCTTTGCTTGCTTCATAAAAATTCTATACATATCGATGTTTAACCATTACCGATGGAAACATGCAGGCACCTCCAGGGGTCAAAACCTGAGGCTGGTGATAATAGATCCTTCTCTCAATGCTCAGGTGGCAACAGATCTCTCATTATGGACTCAGCTTTGGACAATACGTGGCCCTCAATGTCACCCCAGATGTCATCACTCTCTCAATCAAAACCGATGGATAATTCCTCATTACATGACGATTATTCTCACCGCTCTTTTATCAACTGTGAGTTTGGCCAACCGCAGTCTGTGAAACAAGGCAATCGTTCTCTCCACCCTTTCTTTGAGGAGTGGCCAAATACCAGGGAGGTATGGTCTGGTTTGGAAGATGAGAGGGCCAACCAGGTTTCTTTCTCCACAACACAGCTCTCCATTTCCGTACCAATGACTACTACGGACTTCTCAGCCAGTCCACGATCTCCTCAAGGTGAAGTTATATTATTTATGAAATGAATGGAAACGTTGTCATCTTCTGAAATCTGCATGACTTTTTTTTTTTTTTCATGCAGAATCTTGAAGTAAGCAGTGGTTATGCCAAGCCAACACAAATTTTGGCTTTGATTTGAAGCTGTTGGTTTTCTTGCTACTCTCTAAAGTTGTGTAGTTGATACTGATAATATGAGAAGGCCTTTTTACACAACTATGGTGTGAAGTAAAGATGCTAGGCATGCACAGATAAGGGGAAACTCGGCTGGAGGGGCTTGAAACTGCAGATGGAATAAAATTTTGTTCTGGAATCGACTCCCTTTGGAAGCAGCATCCAAGAGTGCAAAAGCACAAATGTGTAGTTATCAAACTTGTTGATTTACTTGGATCGCTTTTTATTTATGCTTTTTAGAGTCTGCAATATTTGTTTCTGGTTACAGTAAGAGGTTTTCATGGATTTTTTGCTAGACATGCTAGCTGTTTTGATTGCTGACAAATATTGTTATGTCTTTTGCTATTGAATATTCTCAAGTTTGCTAAGATTTCAGTTACACGACCAAGTAATTTGTGTAATAGCAATTGGTGATAGGTTGATTGTCATACCTTTGCCTCAAAAATATTAATTGCCGATTCTTGTTAATTTATCAAAAGGTTGAACCATGCCCTCTACCCCTCTTAACACACTGTAAGCGAGTATATGTAGATTACATAAGAGAGAAACCGTGGATAAATAACATGGGGGATAGTATATTCAGATGAGGGGGTAGCTTCTATTGATGCACTATATTGACACTGTCGTAGGCCTTCTTGGCTTTCTCATGCTTCATTTCAAGGGTACATCAGTGACTAAAATCTTTGGAGTTTGGGTATACCAAATGGAAAAGTATAGTAGATCTAGTCCAGGGGCTCTTGTTCAGGTTTTCGGATAAATTCGAGCAAGCACAATCTCAGTATGATAGTGATAGTGATACATGTAGGCCATGAAATGAATATCTACAGGTGATTTAAGTTGCCATTACATTATTGGCTTCAGTTGGAAAAAGACATTTCAAAAATCTGTGGGAACAAGTTCCAACTGTCTGGCTGAATTGACAAACTCAACATTAATGATGAATAACTTGAACACTTATCATATACTTTGTATTAATTTTGAATTCAAGTGTTCAAATCATGATTTTGATGCAACACCTCTTTCAGAAAAAATCGAGTAGATTTACATGGAATTTTTAGTGCACCAATAAATGTGTTAGCTCCTTTTGCGTGAACCCTCCAATGTCAATGGTGGTGCCAACACCTTACATATGAACTATCCACCAAAGCTGCTACTGCCACATCAAAGCTAGCATGTTGCGACTGGGTTTCAACGGAAACAATTTGGATACTGCCACCCGTGATAGGCTCCCCTAAACCAATACCCGGAAAGATCTCTGGGTACCAAACACCAAAAAAATCTAAAACAATATCCTCGTATCGATCTATGCACAAAAGATAAAGGCCAAGTTTACCATCATATGACTGAACTCTTCTTTCCCATGATGATACCTGTTTCTCAACTTTAGGGTGACCTTGATCAGAGACATCCACACTTTAGCCAAGTATACAAGACCTACAAGCCAAGTTGCGCACAAATTAACAAACGGAACATGGGACTATGGTGTAAGCTTAAGAGAGAGAAAAAAATTGTAAGGTCAGAAGGACTTACATGCCCCTAATCAATTGGATGTTTGTCAGCTTGGCGAGATGTATAATGTGCAGAAAGCAAAAGCAAGGAAAGGAAGGCACTAGCAACAAATATTGCATCAAACCAGCGATGATAGAAATCAAATTGTATATCTCCCAATACATCAGTTATTATCATCCTGAAATGAAGCAGTTCAAAAGTCACCCCCTAAGTTTGCAGAAGAAAATATAACTCCTCACTAGCCAGCACCATATAGCGATCAAAATGTTGCAATTTTCTTAATAATTAAAATGAATGCAAACCTCCCTGATCATTCCTTCGATATGGGACCAATGTACAGGAAACAGAAGAAAAATCTTCAAATGTTGATTGTGCCCAAAATTCTTACTCGTAGACAAGGTGTATTTTACAATAGGAGATGCTTCCTAGCATATAGAAGTATAGAACCATTACAATTGCCTACTGTTAGTCTGTTACTAGGCAATAGTTGTATATGATATAACATATAATACTAGCCTCAAATGTTTATCTAGAAATCCCTAAAACAGTGTCTATGAGACTGTCCAACTACCGCCCTGATTTGCATAGCCTGTGGAGTAGCTGCTAATTCACATACAATATAAGATAAGCTATTTATCTGCCAATAATAACGGTGTGTCGCTAATGGTTAGGATAACTAAGCTAAAGTACCAAATGGATTAGCTGATTATAGAAAATGGCAGCAAAACATAGCAACTTTGTCAAGATTACGAGGAAACTAACCTTAAGTAGGGTCTTCAATTAGAAAGCATCCCTAAGCTATCAAAACCATCCTCAAGTTACAATTTTTATCCTAATACTTTTTGATGGTTTCCACAGGTAAATCATTATATCTTACCAGAAACTTCAACATACCATCAATTTTCAGCAATGATTAAATGTTCCACCAAACTAAATAAATAAATAAGTAAATAAATGTCTATCTATAACAGATGGGGAACGTAAATCAATCAATAAATAAATTTTGTTTGACAAAAAGGACCCGTTTAACCATGTCCTAATATTATCGTGTAAAATTACTAATGTACAAATCAAAACATGTCAAGTGCCACTATAACCTGACACTTCCAGCTAGAATCTCAAGTATATAATTTGAACTTTTGACACACACAAACTTCACCCTGATTGAACCCAGCAAATCTAGTGCCACTAGTAATATTGACAAAAAGTTCTCAAAGTGATCATAACTCATATGTGGAGGTCTTCCAGCAACATTACATATGTAGCTCTAGGTCTCTAAACATTTAAGAACATCAGGATTTTGGGGGAAAAAAAGAACTATCTTGCAAATTTAGCTGTGATGTTACAGAGCATGTGGTTAAAGAAAGTTTTGAAAGGGGAAAAGATAAAAAAAAAAAATGAATAAATTTGTCAAGGGAAAGTCCTCAAGAGGATGAGAATAATGGCAAATGCGGGGAAACAAATCACTGAATTTACAACAATTAATCAAAGACAATGTGTATATTTGCTTAATAACAAAAACAGAATACAATCACTTTTAGTATGATAATTACCTGTACTCAGTTGCTAAACTTTTCCTTATCAAAAGAATAGATGAGACAAAATACATTCCCATGATTTCTGACAAAAATAGGACAACATTGCTTGAAGATCCACTCCCAACTCTGGAAACTGCAAAGAAGAACTGGAAAAACCGAATATTTCTAGTTAGAAAACAAACCGTGGATGCCCATGAAGCCCGACAGACAGATCAAAATTGACAGGGCATTATGTCTAGGATTTTAAACTAATACAAGCAGAAAAATTCCTGAACAGATAAAAGCATATAACTTCATTCATTAGATTCACTAGATGCAGCCACAAATAAATGAGCATCCATACTACATAATATAACAAGCATAGAAAATAACATTACCTTCATGAGGTTTGATAGAAATCCTCGAACCGATATGACAATCAACATCCCTATAAATAGTAGGGATATATACTGCACAATAAAAGACCGGAAAAGGAAATTAATACAGAATTTCAACAAATCACCATCACACTTACACCATTATAGAAAATATGCCAGGTCAAGATGTACAAAATTAAAATAAATAAATACAACATTAAACAATTCAGCTATATAATTTATATTTACTACAGAGGTTATTTAGATATCTAACTCAGATTTACGTCAGAACTACAATTATTTGAATATACCATGAATATCTGGGCAAACATCAATTTAGGCCATTTGGTTATTTGTAAATTTCAACATCTCATCGGCTCATCCTATAAACAAATGAGAAATTATAATGGCCCAAAAGCCTCGGCTCACGAACAGACCTAAACTTTTCCTTTAAAAAAGAATTTATCAAGACAATAATATAAAGAAGGAAATTTAAAAACTGATACTAAATCTTTCTATCATCAAATAAAGAAATTAATTAATAAAAAAAAACTACTATTACTCCATCCAATATAAGTTTCTCTTAAATTTGTGTCCATAGATCATAGAGAAGTTAGCTATTGCATTAAAAATCAAAATTAATAAGTGATGGAGCTCCATGAAAAATTGAGGGATAGTTGTGGGTGGACACTCACTATAAAGTAGACGTGGATTTTTCCATGATGCTCTCCTAACAAATTTACAATATAAATCCACTTTTATTGCCACCGTTTATTCTTAGAAACCACTGCTAGTATTATCGCATCAAACAGGCTGACAATGTATTTTAAGGTACTACAAATAAAATCCTAATTCTTAGAAACCAGTGCCAGTAATATTGCATCATTAAACAGTTTTGTTGATATCATGATCACTATAATTGTACTTACTAGTAGAAAATATAAAATTATCCAAATATTGGACAAAAAAAATGGGCTGGAGTATGGGCCATGAAATTAATCAATAGCAAAAGGCAGTTCAGGTTATAACATACTTATATATGGGAAGCAATAAGTCAAGAGTTCATTAAAATCACCTGGGATAATAACGTGGCATCGATTCCGATATCAAAATATTGTAGGAATATGCTGATTGTCTTTGTGACAGGGTCAACTGAACCAGCCTGTGAGGAGGGAAAAAAAGTCTTAGCTGCATTTCAGCTAATTCTAAGACCCAATATAAACCAGTCGGGCAGAACAATTACCTCCTTGAAGACAACGCTCTGCAAAGACTGCGGAACAACGAGATCAATCAGATATACAAAGCATCATACAATAATAACTTTGAAAAGAAAGAAAGAAAGAAAGAAAGAAAGAAAGAAAGAAAGAAAGAAAGAAAGAAAGAAAGAAAGAAAGAAAGAAAGAAAGAAAGAAAAGAAAGAAAGAAAGAAAGAAAGAAAGAAAGAAAGAAAAGAAAGAAAGAAAGAAAAGAAAGAAAGAAAGAAAGAAAAGAAAGAAAGAAAGAAAGAAAAGAAAGAAAGAAAGAAAGAAAGAAAGAAAGAAAGAAAGAAAGAAAGAAAAGAAAGAAAGAAAGAAAGAAAGAAAGAAAGAAAGAAAGAAAGAAAGAAAGAAAGAAAAGAAAGAAAGAAAGAAAGAAAGAAGAAAGAAAGAAAGAAAGAAAGAAAGAAAGAAAGAAAGAAAGAAAGAAAAGAAAGAAAGAAAGAAAGAAAGAAAGAAAGAAAGAAAGAAAGAAAGAAAGAAAGAAAGAAAGAAAGAAAGAAAGAAAGAAAGAAAGAAAGAAAGAAAGAAAGAAAGAAAGAAAGAAAGAAAGAAAGAAAGAAAGAAAGAAAGAAAGAAAGAAAGAAAGAAAGAAAGAAAGAAAGAAGAAAGAAAGAAAGAAAGAAAGAAAGAAAGAAAGAAAGAAAGAAAGAAAGAAAGAAAGAAAGAAAGAAAGAAAGAAAGAAAGAAAGAAAGAAAGAAAGAAAGAAAAAGAAAGAAAGAAAGAAAGAAAGAAAGAAAGAAAGAAAGAAAGAAAGAAAGAAAGAAAATAAAAACAACATAGTACTGAAGTACTATATAACAAGATTCTTAGAGAGTACTGCAATGCTACATAGTTCTAATACAAAAAGTTCAAAGACCATGTTCACTCTCAAAATCCTCTTTCCTATTTCCAGCTTTCTATCACCGTCAACTTTTTTTTTTCATAGGGCATTTGAGGTTAATAAATTAGTTTCACTACTTCCAATCTAAGTGTCCATCCTTCTTTACTCTATTTCTCATTTTATACCAAGATTATTCCCTATTAAGTTTCAATATGAACCACGAACAATTTAGCAACACCATGTTAGGACAATTGTGCATCAGAAGAAGATAAGTTAAACAAGTAGGAAAATAATGCATTACCTTAATCATTTTGTAGACACAATAGACTGAACAGGCGTAACCCAAAAAATTCTGCATGTGGCCTTTCCAAGTTCGAGAAAAAGCTGCAGCTTCCTGAAACAACGGAGGAAATGATCAGAAAAACAGCTTTCGAACTATCAAAGACACATCTCAGTAGGCCCAACTACTATCTCATACAAAAAAGAAGATTTTAAGACTAACTCATTGGCTCATAGCCCTAGAATAGATACATTCAAGCAGTTACTTTTAGCACATCATACTTGTTAAAGTTCCATCACAATTCAACAAGCATACATGAGGCAAGAAAATTACCAGTTACATTCCATCCCTGAAAGTTAATGTTCTTTTTTAGGGGGTGCAATCTAGCTGCATTGTGGCTTACATACAATTCTGTAGGTTTCAAGCTAGGAACGTTGTAGGTTTCCAATTGATAAGCTAGCTCTTGAAATGAATAAATATATAGTAACTTATAAAAGCAAGAAACTTTGCAAATAAAGAGTAGCTAGAATAATTTATTCAAATCCACCATTACTTCTATGACAAAATATACAAGCTCATGTTTATCCAATAAGCAACTTTGAGATGCTCATTGCACAATGTAGCCTTCCTCCAAGATGCTCTTAAACCGTGAGCTAATCTTAGCACTTTGTTGGATAGAGAAAATCACTAACTATGATGCAAACTTTTTAAAATCAAGGATTGTCTATGGAGATTGGACATAAAACAGCATCGTTCACCATAAAGAACCCAACAAAAAAAGCATTAAAAGTTCAATACCATCAAAGGTTTCATCATTAAGAGCATAAATGGATGGAAGGAAGAGAAAAAGAAAGACATTTTATTCAAACCTCTGATACCCATAGAAGGACTCACAAACACAAAAGATCTCTAATGCTTTAAGTCTCTTTGTAGCAAGAGCATAGGTTGATTTCTAAAGGTACAAACCTATGAAACCTAACGGCTTTATGAGTTACTCGCAATGTGTTACATATGTCAGATTTTCAATTCTACAATAATCTAAAAACGTTTTCAAAAGAAAATACATACTTCCTCCGTTCCAATAATATTGCAACAAGGATGAAATTACATATCCCAAAGCACATTTTATATGTTAAATATCTATAATTATATAAGAGTAAAATTTATAAAAAGTTGATACTGTGAAAGTATTTTATGAGACATTGAGACAAATCTAACAAGATCCCAATGACTAGATTTTACTTAACGTATGAATCATATTGTGTAGTCAAACAAGAGTATTGAATAGTGCAAAAGTCCCATTGTTGCAATATTATTAGAACGGAGGAAGTATATTCTTAAAAGGACACATGCATAATTGCAAAAATCGATCAGACTCCTACCCTAGTACTTATACTAAAAGAAAGGGGAAGGCAGTAGAAGGAATGTTCTCCAGAGTTAGTTAAAATAGGAATAATCTACTATTGAAGGAGAAGAGAGTGTTGATTTAGAAACCAAGTCAGGCAATGCTGAGGGAATAATAGGAGGTAGGATGCATATTGAGGGGTATTAAAAAAAGAGAAAATTATGACTTGGGGGAGCACCAACCTCTCAAATGTTGGCTAGACTGTAATTGGTGATTCTCACTTTGGCCATTACCGATTCAGTCATATCTTAAAGTTTCCCGAATTTATTGGCATTTTCCTTCCTAGTGTTCCTCTTAGCTACCTATAACCTACTGTTTTAGTGAGAGAAGGATTGTCTCGAATTATAGCTATGATAAAATGATATACAATAGCATGATAAGGTACACAAGCATGTTGACTTGCTGAGTGAAACAGTAAAGTGACCAGAGCATACCTTAGCTTGGCGAAGCTCGTAAATCTCTAAGAACAGCTGCTTTGACAGCTCCTCTAAAGCCTGTACCTCAGCTTCCAGATTTTTTATATCTACCCACAAACAAAAAAAAAAGAAGAAGAAAAATAAGAGAGGAACCTTATAACATGCAGATTTCACAAGGAAAAGAAGTTTTAAAATAAAATTGATCAACAACAGAAAACCATGCATGAAAATGTTTTTCCTCATTTCTTTCCTCATGGGATATTACAGAACGAGTAACAAAAAAAAAAAAAAAAGTCCTCCTTACGCATATAAAGCCATTTACAAACTGATTTAAACATCCAGTTCCTTTGGATCTCTCTTGTTGAAATACGTTTAAAAAATCAAAATCCCTTTAAATGTGTTTCAATCAGTATAGAACATCTAGCAGGAAGCTTCCCAAGAATCCCAACAGCCAACCATTAGCCAGGTAAATATACAGCCCTTGGTGCAGAAAATATATTTGAAAATGGAATATTTGAAGTTGGTAAAACGTTTCCCCTCAATAATAAACGGACAACAGCTTATGTAAGAGACTTAAATAAAACTGTTCAGTCCTTGAGAGTTACTGGTCAGCAGAGACATACACTTACAAAGTGGGATCAAATCAACCCCTACACCCCAAAACACTAAAACCAAAGTATTAGTACATTCCAGAATAGATGCAAAGGAACTGAATCATTTTTCACATTAATTAATCAGAGGTCACAAGCCAGCTTACAAACTGGTGGTATACCAAGACTTAGTTTCTTTATGCATCATCTGTATTAAATTTTTCATGGCAAAAAATTGAATTGGCCAACTTGTAAGCCAACTATACAGCCAATCAAACCTACTAGATGATAATAAGCTCAAGGTAAACAAAAGTACAAGCAACAAACCTTGTTCCCTTTGGTCTTCCTGCACAGATCTCACAACTGTTCCAACAATTCTCTTCAGGAAAGATCTAGCATTCATCTTCTACAAAATGACATGTGAGTGAGCCAAATAAGCAATCCGGGAAAGCTAATGATCATAAATCAAGACTCTCGGCTTTTACAATCTACTGCGTATCGAAAACTCTCAAATCAGCAATAAAGTTTTTCATCCTCTCTTAGGAGGACAAATAGAGCAAGGAAAAAAAAGATGCGAAGTAAAACAATTAAGCACATTCTAATCAGGCATGAGAAAGACCTCGTGCAGCTTTTGTTCATGCCATAAAGCAGATGAGCTTATAATGTCAAGTAATAAAAAAAAAAATTTAAAAAAAAAAAAAAAAAAAAAAAACGTGTACTAAAAAGCTAGGCAGCCATCTATTCATAAAAAGGGTAAAGAGCAACAAAAGAAGTGCAAAACCTTCACAGTTCAAAGTCATTTATAAAGACGTGAAACATTTAAGAAGAAATGATGACAACAGAAAAAGCAGGTATTATCAATAACTAGCCCCATTTTCCTATTTAAGGTGTCCCAATTTACTTACCCCATTTTCCTTTTCAAAAAAATATTCTCTCTATTTCGTCTTTGGAATTTGGGTCCCACACTCATTCACCAATTTTCTCCATCTACTTTTTCACTTGCATAAAATTATGTGCAAATGGCTATGGGGTAAGTAAATTGGGACGGAGGGAGTAATATATTAAACATAAAGGAGCAGTAATGTATATTTTGACATACCTCTTCTGATACTTGACTTCTCTCCATCTCCATTTGACAAAGTATGATTTTCTTTTTTTTGGTAACACAAGTCTCAATTGATTGCATCAATTGCCTCTCCAAGGATTTTATTTCAAATTCCTCAATCTCCCTAACATACATTAACCCTTGAGATAAAGCTCTCAATATTAAAAATAGTTGTATATAGGAAACTAATACACACCTGATAAAAAGGGACAGATAGCTGTAAGGTAAATTGACAGCCCCAAAGCCTGATAAGACAGCCATGACGGTCACTCCAATCACACCAATTCTGCTAACCAACTGAGGCATGGTAAAAAATCCTGAGACATGAGAAATCAAATTGTTTACAAGGGTTCTCAACTTTTTACAGTAAAGTGTGTGTGTGGGGGGGGGGGAGAAAAAAAAAACAAAACAAAACAAAATTCATGGGTTAAAGACCATTGTAATGGAACTATGGAAGTCAACCTTAAAAATCACATCTTGTTCATTCATAATAAGACACTAGTGGGAGAGTAACTATGACCATTAAATTACATATTGTTCAAGTGGTATCTCTTCTCTCCCATGAAAGAAATGTTAATTCAATTAAATGCGGAGCTTTAAACATAAAGTGGGGTTCACTACTAATGCCTTCAGCTAGAGCTGGCTTCCAATATACACTGTAAATATGATATGGAATCCACAAGGCATCGGTGGCTAGTCACATTGACACCCAATCTAGCTCATACTAATCCCATTTATTGCTAAGACCTGTGGTGGGAGGATATGCAGGGATATTTAGGATAAAACACAAAGAACTCGAAGGGATTTATACAAAAGAAGATTGTTTCAAATGAACTGAACCAAAACTCTGCAAACTTCACTAATGAACTATATGGTATTCCAGGTCTCAATGACAAGCAAATAGTTGGTGGTGAAAGTTCCCATCTATAACTAACCATTCAAATGCCAACACTACAACATAAATTATACTGTTTTAACTAAGTCTGCATAAACCTTGCTTCTCCAAACCCTGACAGCAACAATCAAAACTTGACGGTTTCTGTAAATCAAATTATCAAGATATGCAACAATCATATAGGCATAAAGCACTATAGTACAGGCATACAGCCAAGGGGGTGAAAAGGCAACTTATATTAACAATTCAGCTAAAGCATGCCTTGATATTGAAAAGCTGCAATATGAGAAAAGTGAGGAGTCTCATCCAGAAGCAAGCAAGCAAACACACATATGCAATAAAAGAATACACAGAAATACAGAATTTCAGAGCATTAACAGGAAATTCAGACTGCAACAATTACCTTTGTCGGGTGAAGGCATGGGAAAGTGGATGCCCATTCGCCAAAAAGCATACAAGAAAGCAAACAAGAATAATATAGCCCCAAGTGCAGCTCGTTCCTTTCTTAAACCTGGTAAAATCGATTAGTCATTCCATAGTAGTTATCATAGGAGGATAACCTATACACATTTTAGTTTAGAAACAGTATAACATCTTATATACTATAGTAACTATACTAGAGCGGAAGCAGCTAAATCAGATTTTTCCCTCCTAGACACATTCTTTAAATGTGTGTTTCTGTTAAATTTATTTACAGTTTACAGTGTAAATCAAATTTTGTAACAACTAGCTACATTTGAAATCAAAGTATAGATAACTAATCCCTAACTTTTTTCATTCAATAATAGCTTAATAAATGGCACTGTATCATTACTCTTACTTTCTAAAACATTGACAACGAAAAGCAGCAAAAAAAAATCTGGATATAACAGGAAAGAACTGCAAAATAAGCAAGAGAGCTTAAATACCATTATTACAAAGCATCAAGTAGCAATGATAATACGGCAACATAAAAACCAGCAACAAAATCAAGCAAAACAGATCCAGCTTCCAGTTCATCCATCTAGCCCTGCAGCAAAACACACAACAATAAGAACTACTTCCAATTTCAATGGACAATAATGTAGACGGGATTCGACTCAACACCCCACTTCCCTCCCCATATCATCCCGAGACTTTAACCAACTAAACTAGTCGACACCCACAACACGATAAAAGTATCTTACTCTTTGGAAAGAACAGGAATGATCTCGAACAAAACAAGCTGAAGAAGATTACACGAAAAAGCGAAAACAATACTAAAAATGATCTGAACAAGAACCCTTTTCTCTTCATACTCTTTGTATAATCTACGATTCAAGAACCATAAACCTGCCCAACCCAGCAACACCAATGAACCCACCATTACTACTCCCTCCATTATTGACCATCCCCACCCCATTTTCTCTCTCCTCTGAGATTCTGATTTTTGATCAAAAACCCCTTTTTTTCTTCAATTGGGAATGGCAGATTTGATGTACTGGGGATGTAAAATGTCCTGGATCTGGTGATTTTGGATTGATTTTGATTTCATAACAGATTGCAGTTGTTCAATTTTATGCTCACTTCTTCTTCAAGTTTGATGAGCTTTGATTGTTTTCGATTTTGCGCTTCTCCCCCCAATTTTTTAGATGCTCACTAAAAAAATTACTACGTATTTCTTTTTACAAAGGAAAGAAAAAATAAAATTAGGATGCATAATCAGTTAATTACTGCTCGTAAGTCGTAATCTGTGGTATGGGGCTGATTCCATGAACAATGAATGGTAAGGGACTAAGGGTTCGATGGGTTGTAACTCATCTGGGCTTCGGCTAGTGCTATCAGATCGTATGGGGTCGACTGGTCGAGTTATCGAGTATGTTGGGTTGGTTAATATAACTCGTATTTGCCGTATTTGAGTGAGGGGTTGTTCAATATATAAAATATGTTAAGATTTGTTAAATTCGAATCTATTAGTTATTAGTTTATTATGGTGAATAAATTAATTTTAGTTGTACTTTTTGATTTGTAATGGTTTCAAATGCTATGTACAATTTTAGTATGTGTTGGGTATTTTAGGTTGGGTTAGTTTTATGAATTTTACTTAGAAGTATCAAACCCATTACATACCTCTTAGGAGGTGGTTTGGTTCAACATATGACATCAAACATGCAAATAATACAAGCCAATGAGTTAAATTAGATTTATTTAATGCTAAAAGGAGTCCCACTTCTCATAATGTGCCTACACTTTGCCAAAGTGTATGAAACAAAGAGCAATAATTGCTCTTAAACAATGTGAGTATCAATTAGCTTAATTGATTAAAACCTTGAAGGCGGTATTAAATACTTGAATCCAAATCCTTTTACACTTATCATCCTTGCAACTCTCTTTACACACAAAATAAAATAGTATTAAAAATAGTATGAATTTAATGAACTATCGATCTTTCATATACAATATAAACTAACTCAATGCATTCTTCCTTGATGGATTCATCTATAAATTATTGTCCTCTCAACTATTGAAGTATCAACTACGTAGTATTATGATGCATATTTATATTGCATTTTCATTTTAATAGCTATTAATATTTTATCAATTCCTAACAGATTACCCTTTTATACATAAACACCATACATGCTATGGCGAAAAGCTAGTTGAATAAATCGTGTTCATATACTTCCTATATATAGGTATGAGTATTTTAAAACACTCAATAAGTAAACTTGTCACTTTCTTTCTAACAACAATTGTCTATGCATTATATATTTATATGCATGCACATTTAATTTGTATTTTTCATTATTAAAGTGTATTAATTGCACAATTATTTATGTTCTACCATTACAAAGTGTTCTACCTCCATCTGTTGACAAATTTCGTTCACGTACATTCGACAATAATAACTTCAATTCTCATTTTATTTGTTCAAAGTAGGTTGATGAGAGTTTAACTAGTCTTTCGGAAAAGGTTTATTTGCTAAACAACCAAATTAAATAATTATTTTATAAAGTCAACCCTCAAGATTGGTCGAATTAGTTCCTTTTTAAAAATAAAAATCAAAACAAAGCCTTACAAAACACTCACAACAATGTTCGTTTTTTTTGTTTCTTCATTCTCTCTCTACTCACATTCTCTCCTCTTCGATCTTATTTTCCTCACGAGCATTTTTGGTGGTCATATTTTATCCCACCAATGATACAAATAATTTTGCTCGTCATTCTCTCTCCTACCATTTTTAATACCCCACAAACATTACTTCCCTCTTACACATTACCATATTCATATTTAATACTTCCTCTGTTTTTATTTACTTGCAACACTTCTCTTTTTACGCTTGTCGATGCATTATTTCAATCGTTTATATCTTTAATTATCAATATGTAAAAATTATAAATGTTAGATATTAAAATAGTATAAACCGAGACGAATCTAACAATATCCCACATGACTATATTTTTTTTAGCTATAAATTGTCAAAACTAGTCAAAGTGGAGTACATAAATAGTGTAAAAGTCAAATTGTTGCAAGTATAAGAAAACGGAGGAAGTATTCTTTTAATTAATGAATTTCAACATTGGCCCACTAGTACTATTCATGTAAAATTTTGCTCATAGTATGAGCATTTTATAAAATGATGGAGCATTTAACTTATGCTCATTGATGAGATGAAGTATTTTATGCTTTTTGTTCATCAAAATGCTCGTGAGCATATTTTTGCTCACTGTCGTGAGTGCTCTAGATATTTATGGTAGAAACTTAACTTCAATTTTGTTTTACCAACTAGTATGAATAATACTACATACTACTCCATAATACACAACTATGTCTTGTACATGGGGAAAAAAAACATGTATTGTACACAATTGCGTTTATACAAACTCTACCTTGAACTATTATGAATTTGAGTCTTTTTTTTATACCTATGTTACTTAAATGCGGGGTACCCATATCTGATTTAACTATTTTTGTGAAAAAAAAATCCATAAGTTGTTTGAACTAAAAGTAAGGTGTCTAAGTGTTGTAGGATATAACTTATACCTAATTTAATCTAAGTATTTTGAGGTAAAATGAATAGTTTGAGTAGCATGACTTTAAGAAAAAAAAGAACTACTCCGTATAACATATGAAAATATAACTCACTATGAAAAGGCATTACCTAAAAGTAGGATTGTGTTGTGCGGTCGTGTCCGTCTTGAGCAACCCAATACAACACATTCGTAAATATTTATCTCATATTTGAATTCTTTGAACATGCCAGTCTTAAAAGCACGACTAAACTGCGTTAAAGTGCCTAACTTATATCGTGGTCACATTTTCAATTATATATCATCCTTCCACAATGCGCCTAACTTAAAGCCTGTTCTGTTTAGCTTAATTTCAGTCCAGTTCAGCTCCAATCAGTTCAATTCAGTTTCTAATTTCCTTTTTTTTTTATAAACAATTCAATTCAACTCAATTTAGTTTAATAAATCAAAACAGACCCTTAATTTCTAATATTCAACGAATAATTCCTCCATTCGACTTCCTTACTATGGAGTACCCAATTTATTTTTTTTTAAAAAAACTTAACAAGGACGTGAAGGACTACATGTTTTGCATATCTAGATTACGTCATAAATTGCCGTCTTTGACCATTACGTTACGCGTGCTTCTTGAAGTCCTCCCTCTACCTTTAAAAAAAAAAAAAAGATGACGTGGCGAAGACGCGAGCCCGACTAAACAATGGGCCCAACAACCCATGATCACAATTTAAAGCGCGTGACATAATGACAATTCAACTTTGCCAGCTGGACTTCCGGACCAGTCAAGCTGGCCAACCTTATCCTCTTTCGTTTTCCATTTTTTTTAATTTTTTTTTAATCTCCTCAAATCACCTGTTTTCTTCATTTCCGTCACTATATTCTAAAAGCAACTCTTTTTCCTCATTTCTTTTTTCTGGATATAATAATTCAACAACAATTTCTAATTTATTTAATCCAATTTTTAATAACAAATAAACTTTGGGTCTCTTTTCTTTGTTAAACAACGAACAAACCCTAGATCTGTTCTTCCTGCAAATTTTAGGATTTTTGAATCTTCTTTTTTCAATCGTTTTAGATCTTCTGGATATTATCGCCAAGGTCAGTGTTAATTTTCTTTGTTTTTGGTCTTCATTTTTGTTGCATTTCATGTAATTTTGTTGAGATTTTTGTTGATTTTTTGATTTTAGCTTGTTTTGTTGGATCATTTTTGGATGAAATGAGATTTGTTGAGTGAATTTGAATGTTTATTGAATTGGAAATTGATTTGGATTTTGTGTAGTTGTGTATATAGGAAGCGATATTGGAATTTGGGGGAAAAGATATCTGTAGTTGTTACTGTTGTTAGTGGATTGATTTGAAGGAATAGAGAGAAAGAACTGGAATTCGTAAAAAAAGGGGGACAAAATGATGTCAAGATCGTATACCAATCTTTTAGATCTAGCTTCAGGGAATTTTCCTGCGATGGGGTTGGGGCGGGAGAAAAAGCGGCTTCCGAGGGTGATGACGGTGGCGGGAGTGATATCGGAGCTAGACGATGATCAGGCGAATAGTGTATCATCTGATGTACCATCTTCGATTGTACAAGACCGTGTGATCATTGTAGCGAATCAGTTACCGGTGAGGGCGAAGAGGAGACCGGATAATAAGGGGTGGAGTTTTAGTTGGGACGAGGATTCGTTACTGTTGCATTTGAAGCATGGGTTGCCGGAGGAAATGGAGGTTTTGTATGTAGGGTCTTTGAAGGTGGAAGTGGACTTGGATGAACAAGATGATGTTTCACAGATTTTGTTGGAGAAGTTTAAATGTGTGCCGGCTTTCTTGCCCCCGGATATTCATACCAAGTTTTACCATGGGTTCTGCAAGCATCATTTATGGCCTCTTTTCCATTATATGCTGCCCTTTTCGGCTAGTCATGGTGGGCGTTTTGATCGGTCATTGTGGGAAGCATATGTGGCTGCCAATAAAATTTTCTCTCAGAGGGTGATTGAGGTTATTGATCCTGAGGATGATTATGTCTGGATTCATGATTACCATCTGATGGTCTTGCCAACTTTCTTGAGAAGACGATTCATCAAATTGAGGATGGGATTCTTTCTTCACAGCCCGTTTCCTTCTTCAGAGATTTACAGGACTTTGCCTGTGAGGGAGGAGATCCTTAAGGCATTGCTTAATGCTGATCTTATTGGATTCCATACCTTTGATTATGCTCGTCATTTTCTGTCTTGTTGTAGTCGGATGTTAGGCCTGGAGTATAAATCGAAAAGGGGATATATTGGATTAGAATATTATGGTAGGACTGTTGGAATAAAAATTATGCCAGTTGGGATACATATGGGTCAGATTGAGTCGGTTTTGAGGCTTGCCGATAAAGAGTGGAGATTGAAGGAGCTCAAACAGCAATTTGAAGGGAAGACTGTGCTGCTTGGTGTTGATGATATGGATATTTTTAAAGGGGTCAACTTGAAGCTTTTAGCTATGGAGCAAATGTTGAAGCTACACCCAAAGTGGCAGGGAAAAGCAGTTATGGTTCAGATTGCAAATCCCTCCAGAGGAAAAGGGAAGGATCTCGAAGAGATTCAGACTGAAATTGAAGCTAGCTGTAAGAGAATTAATGAAACCTTTGGACGTCCTGGCTATGAACCCATTGTTTTTATCGATAGACCAGTTTCCCTGAGTGAAAGAGCTGCATATTATACTGTTGCTGAGTGTGTAGTTGTCACTGCAGTCAGGGATGGAATGAACCTTACTCCGTATGAGTACATTGTCTGCAGGCAAGGGGTTTCTGAATCTTCATCTGGTTCATCATCTAGTAGCCCCAAGAAGAGTATGTTGGTCGTGTCAGAATTCATAGGCTGTTCTCCTTCTCTGAGTGGTGCTATCCGGACAAATCCATGGAATGTGGATGCAACAGCTGAGGCTATGAATGAGGCTATCTCTATGAATGATGCTGAAAAGCAGCTGCGCCATGAGAAGCATTACAGATATGTTTGCACACATGATGTGGCATTCTGGTCAAGAAGCTTTTTCCAAGATCTTGAGAGGACTTGCAGGGACCATTTCAGGCGACGCTGCTGGGGGATTGGGTTGGGTTTTGGTTTTAGGGTAGTGGCACTTGACCCTAATTTCAGAAAGTTGACTATTGATGCTATAGTCTCAGCATTCTCTAGGTCTAAAAGCAGGGCCATTCTATTGGATTATGATGGCACTATGATGCCGCAGACATCCATTGACAAGAAGCCCAGTCAAGAGGTAATAAGTATCATAAACTTGTTATCTGCAGACCCCAGAAACACAGTTTTTATTGTCAGCGGAAGAGGAAAAGATAGCTTAGGAAAATGGTTTTCACCTTGCAAAAAGGTTGGCATTGCAGCTGAACATGGATACTTTATGAGGTACTCATATTGCACCTGTATGTAACAATGATTGTGTGTTTTCTTGTGCTTCTTTTACTAATGCATTTATATGATACTTGGTTAGATGGAGTGCGGAAGATGAATGGGAAATGTGCGGTCAGAATTGTGATTTTGGATGGGTGCAGATAGCTGAACCTGTCATGAAGCTTTATACTGAAGCAACAGATGGTTCATTTATCGAAACTAAGGAGAGTGCCTTGGTCTGGCATTATAGAGATGCTGACCCAGGTTTTGGGTCTTGTCAAGCAAAGGAGATGTTAGATCATCTAGAAAGTGTTTTAGCAAATGAGCCTGTTTCTGTAAAAAGTGGCCAGCATATTGTTGAAGTCAAGCCTCAGGTATCTTCTTTGCTTTAACTTATTTTCAGCTTCATATTTCTGTTCTAGTTAATCATGTCATCTGCTTTTGATGATTTACTATATGAATTGTCAACTCCATATCTTAGTTAGCTAATGACGGAAAGATGTAGACAAAATATTGTGCCAGTCAGACATAAGTTGGGAATAGATTATGACATAACATTAGAATTTTTAGTCTTTAAGGTGTATTGTGGGGATCTAGTTGTAGGAAGGTATGAGTGCTGAAAACTTTTGAAGTCAGCAGCAATGAAGTTTCTCTAATGCCTTTTTGCCCATATTTTGCTTATACTTTGGATTTAGATATTGGAAAACAAGGTTTCATGGGAAAAAGAAGGAATCATCTAGATCCTCTTATTGTATACTTGTATATGATTTTGAAGTGGAATCAGTTTTCCCACTTGAAAATTTCTAGGTGGCTTGGAAAAATTTAAATCCCTCCATGTTGTTTAGTTACTATATATACGATGAAGCACTACTAATCTATAAGAAACTGTATAAACCCACCAAAATGTTCATTACAGCCACATATTAGTTTATTATGCTATTGCTGTATCCATATTTAAATCCTTGCTGTTTTGTGACTATCATCTCCCTAAAACAAAATCTCTCATTTTATTCAGAAGTATTTTAAACAAAATCATCTTTAGGCATTAGGCAGTGAGTTTACTTGGATTTTGTGAAAGTCAACAATAATGCTACTGCATTTGAATCCTTATGTTAGATCTTTGTACACGATTGATTTCTCCAATACTAAGTTTTCTATTCTTAGCTGTACTTGCTTATGCTTAATACAAATAACCAGCATATTCAGGGTACAATGATGAAATTCATAACTATTTAACACTTAATGAAATTTGCCAAAAGTCTCTTTTATCTAGATATTTTCTCTAGTGAATGTAACAATTTACAGTTCAGTGGGTTCCGTCAACAACATATTTCTCATTATTATTTGTTTTGTCAACTGTGAACTTTGCATTCCCTTTATATATCCATATGAGTGGCTACTTTATTCTATGCATGGTCCTCAATATAGGTCAACCTTTAGAGATTTTGTTATTGGAACTAGTCATCAAGGGTTCAGGGATAAATAAAAGAATCAAATCCAAATATCACTGATAGGATTTTCTTAACTTCCCCATAATAATTGATTTTTGAGAGGATCACACAAAATCACAGTTAGTTATCTCTTGAATGTTTGAACTTTTAGGAATAGCTTTAATTTGAACGGTAAGTTTAGATAACTTGAATGGTACGAGTAATATCTAAAGATTTGTAGCTCTGTTTTTCTACTCACTTACACTGACAATTTAAGTTTAACTAGAGTGTATCGTGCTAACGCACGGTATATACGTAGCATGTATGTATTTAGAAAGAAAAACAATAAGAGATGTGGAAGTTATAAAAAAAAAAAATTTTGTAGCAATGGAAGTTATTTAATTGTATGTTATAGCACAAAAATAAATGGAAGTTCTTAATTGGAGGTTAAAGCAAAAAAAATTTTTAAAAAAAACACTAAAATGCATAAGATTTAAGAATTGGGCTTTTGGAGGGCTGTAGTTAACCGACTCTTAAATTATATAAAAGATTCGTAATCACTCAGTACTATTTGATGAATACATGAATTGATATAAAATACATGAATTGATTTAATTTCCTCTCTGTTGTTAATTGAACTATTGGAATACATTTTCTTATTATTTTGTTCTATTGATTTAAACATTCATATAGTTTTGAGTTATTGAATCAATTATTCTACAAGTATTTTGTAGTACAAACAAAATATTAATACTATTTATATGTATAAATTCATAGGATTCTTCTGCATTCTTTAATTATGCAATATATCTCGTAAATATCAATTTCAAAACTTTGGAATTTGTACAGTGAATGATACAAGGTACAACATAACAACACATCAACAATATTTGACATAATACAACAAAACAAAATTTGAAGTTAAGATTAATTATGCCAACAAACTAGATTGTCAAGCCCTTCTGCCTCATTTAGAGTAAATTGAAAGTAAAAAAAACACATTTATTCCTTGTGCATGTAAATTTAGGCGTTTTTCAAAAAAAAAAAAAAAAAAAAGGTAATTTAGGCGTATATATTGTACAAAATTAGATCTGTGGGATTTCACGTGAAATTTCCAATCTATATGTAAATATACTTCGTTTAATGCTAATATTATTCTAAATCAAACTCCATCATACCTCTATCATCATCTTAATTTGTCTATGCTGCATGCCTTGATGACATGCTCTGTTTTCTTGGAATGTTGCTCTGTGTGTGAATCAAGTCTTTAGGAGAAGGAGGATGGGGGAGAGGGAGAGATATTTCGAGACTGGGAAAGTGGGAGGTGAAGAAGAGGTGGATGACTGGGAAAGTGGGAACTGGGCTAGGGTAGAGTTAGTGCCTTTGTGGCTGAGGGATTTGTGATGAAGAGCTTGGGCAACACAGTGTGGGTTGTTGGAGAAAGACTTTGTGGGGAAAAGCTGGAGTTATTTATCAACAAACAGTAGACTAGCTAAGGGAGAGATTTTGCTTTTCCCGCATCAAATGCTAAATGGCCCTTGGTTGTATCTTCCTTATGGTTTGCTACATTGTTGCTATGATTATCTTAAGCAGAGTACTTTGTTCTTCACAAATGCTATTTTCATATTGGAACATCCAATACTTGGTAACTGAGTAATATGTGGTAGTTAGTTAAGATGTTGCAATATGAAGTTCGTGTAATTCACTATTGGTATTTGGCTTCGTTCTTAATGTTGGACTTTATTTTTTTCTTATTTCTTTCAGGGTGTAAGTAAAGGTCTAGTTGCGGAGAAGATATTCACCAAAATGGCGGAGAATGGAAAGCGTGCTGATTTTGTTTGCTGTGTTGGTGATGATAGATCTGATGAAGACATGTTTGAGATCATTGGGAGTGCGATGAACAGTGGTATACTGTCAGCGAATACGTCAGTGTACGCTTGTACGGTCGGACAAAAGCCGAGCAAGGCAAAATATTATTTGGATGATACCGCTGAAGTCATAAACATGCTTGATGCCCTTGCTGAAGTTTCAGACCCTGTAACGTCAAGTGACGATGAGACAGGAAGCCCCTCTTGATAGTTGCTTCAGTTATTTTTCAAGTAAATATTGCTTTAGTCTTCAAAATAGCATAACTCAAGGATTTCCTTTCTTGCCTGATACCTCTGGGACCAAGTTGGTTCATACCCTAGTGGGCAATCCAGAAAATGTCTGAAATTGAATCTGGCTGAACAATTGAGGTGGGGGATGGGTCTTTTGAGAACTTTTTTTCCGGATTGCCTAAAGGTATACGCAATTGATATTTTCATGCTTGGAAAAGGCTGATTAGGATTGGCAAATGGGGGACTTTGCTGCGTCAAATGTACATAGGGAGGCTCACCAGGCTTTGCCATTGGATCCGTTCTGAAATTTGTCATATGTAAGAGTTGCTTTGTTCCATTTAACTGCCTGGTTGGTGATTGACTCGTATAAGTATTGAAGTCAGATGTCTGGCAAGAACATAACGGGTTGGCTTGTAACTTGCCGCATTGAGTTGTGGGTATAGATGTTTTAGCAATTGTTCTTTGCCTCACCCCTCTATTCTGAGAGAGTGAATTCATTTTATGTTTACCTGACAATGTTGAATTCTTTAGTAGGTGTACTCCATAGGCAATTGTTTGGGCTGCTGATTATATTTTAAAATGCCAGAATAGGAGTGTTACTCATTCTTTATTAAGATTTCTTCAAGATGTGAAGCAGCAAAAGATTGCTGCATATAATGATTCTGCCTTCGGTACATTCATAGTCTGTACTCCGTAGTACTAGTATTAAAATTTTCAGACCCTCCTTCAGTGATTGCAATGTATTAAGGCTTGCAATTGCTCTTTTAAATGGGAAGTCCGAATCCTGGAACTTTGTACACCAGTAGTGCATTTGTAATCTACCCATGGTTGCTCCCTAGGCATTTTGGTGGTGGCATGGAGGCACACATTGAAATGCAGGCGATATTTTGTTTCCTATTTTTCTGCTTCAAATCTTCTTTCCAGTTCAGTGCTGAGCAGAAATTGACGCAGTTGCATGACACTGAGCATACGGCACTACATTGGTTTCAATTCACCTGTTAAAGAGTTCAACATGTATCAAAGCGCCGAGATGTGAAGCTAACATCGGTTCCAACGCAACTGTCTAAAAATTCATCTATCAAAGCATCAAGATGAGATGCCTCCGTCTATCGGCCTTCACTCATATCATTCAGACCTATGGCGACGAACCCTGAACTTCCAGTGTTGAATCTGAAAGAGTTGAAGGATGATTGTTTTTTGGGTTTGTTTCCCTATACTAGCTCTAAATGGTTTGAGTAGGTGTGCCTTTAATTGCTGATGAGCGCACAACCAAGCAATCTAGGATCTGATATGCCAATGTTGTTGACAAAAATAGATACTAAGCATTACTTTTAAAACAACCATTTTTATAAAGAGCGTTTAAAGTGTAATTTAGACAACGATTCTTCTGACTTGACTGTGAGTCTTTTGAGAAATCTTGAACTAGAAGATGAGGAGGCGAAATTGGATCTGTTAGGTAAAATATTGGTTATTTTACAATATCTATCTTACCCAAAAAAATAATAATAATTACTTTGTTGATGACTAAAGTTTCAAACCTCAATAAAAGTTTGGGGTTAGAGTGTCCTCATTTGTTATGTTATTTTTATTTTTTCCTCCTGGATTGCATCTTTTGTACTATCAAATACTGCATAAATATTACTCCGTACTCTGTAGTTTTACCAGTACCTAATTATAATACTCCGTAAGATTGTTTACATTACTCTAAAGTACAAAATAACAAATAGATTCAAAAACAATTTGTTGGCTTGAATACGTGATTAATGTCTCCAAGGTAATTCTGGTTGATCCCCGGGTTAGCATATATACAAAGCAAGAATATGTGATTAATATCTCCGAGGCAAATTTGGAGAGCATATTTATATCACAACCATATATTTAACATCTAAGACTTTATTCTATATAATACACTTCGTACATAGTTGAGATCAATTGGATGAAGCTCCCATATTTAGGTATTGGCAAAGGTGAGATAATCACCTTGATGGATGTATCCACAACTCAACAAGTCATATGAAAAAAAGGAAAGATGATTTAAAGGTACAATAATGTAGAAAAATGACGTAGAGTAAATTGAATGGAGTTCAAATGGACTAAAATAGTGGGCATCAAATGCTTTGCTTATCTATCACATTTAGTCCAAATAGGTGGTTCCATTTGTTAACAATAGTATTAAAGGTGTTATTTATTGCAAATGAAATACAAAAATGTCAATTGTTTAGTTATAACAACCATCACAAAAACTCTTGTAAAATAAAACAACTAGAACATATCTTTTAATTTATGGATATCATTTAACTTATAGGCGTTATAATTGGTCAAATTTTAAAAAATGGTGAGATTGAATTTGTCTACACCATTGTTCTAGTGGCTTTATCTAGTTATTTCAGCACTAAACTCCTATTTCGATCTATTTACATTTTTGTTGAATGAAAAATCAAAACATGAAACCTTGAGGTAATTTTGCACGAAAGTATAACCCTTCTGTGACGGATGATACACGTTTTGATGCATGTATGCATACATGCGTCCCTTAAGACTTAATAAGATGTAGTAAATATTTTTCCTACTTTGACAACACTGGTTCGGAAATTCACAGAAAAATTGCGCATCAACTAAAGTTTATATTGTTAAATTACTTTTAAGTGCCATATACATCATCTCCCCTTTGCCTCTTACATTTGTTGATGCAAAACTTAAATCAATTCATCCAAAAAAAAATTGATATTTGAAAAATATCAAAAAACCTTTTACCATAAGTCCATAAAATCTATTTTTTAAAATATCAATAAAAATTGCGTCACAATTCATATCGTATACGTATTATACGAAAAACGCAAAACTCAACCTTGTGGTATTACGAAGTACTATGAAACATAGAATTCACAGATTTAAAAGTCACATACATGTAAAATTATATAAAATCGACATTTTATACTACATAAAAAAGAATCTTACTCCTACAATATTACATTCAATCAACCTTGAGGTTGTAGGAGCAAATCCCACTAGAGATATGTTAGGGTGGGGATTCTCTTACCGTTCCCCCTTTCACTCCCAAAGAGCCTAGCTTGTATCTCAGGTCGGAAAAACCTATGATAGACAATGTTTTAATAGGGGCTCTTTTCCATAAAAAAAAAAAAAAATTTCAATCATTCTTTTCTTTTATTTCCAAAAAAAAAAAGTAACATTTTTTTTCTTTTTCTTATTTTATTTTTAAAATATTCATAATATTTTTTTTTACGGTGTTATAAAATTTGAAAGACCCTTGACTGGGCAATTGACGACTGAATCCATCTAAACCCTAACCCTTACCCGCCACACGTGTAAACCACACTCGCGAAAAAACTGGTCCCTATATTAATCTCCAGAATTTGCAAATCTAAACCATTCTAACTTTCCAATAATTTCACTTTTAGTCCCTCAATTTTGCTTCATTTCGCTGATTAGTCCCTCCCCATTTTTTTTGTTGAACCGAGAAATTCAATCCCCAACTCCATAACTTGGAAGAAAGAGAGAGAAAGTTTTAGAGAGAGAAAGTTTAGAACTCTCTGAATAAAATTTAAATTTAATTTAAAATTATTAATTTTGTATCAATACTTTTTAATAAAAATTGATGAATAAAATTTATAAATTTAAAATATAGTCGGTGACGAATTTTCAGTTGCAACACCAATAACGCCCTAATTTCTCTCTCCTCTGCTCGGCGGCCGGTGACATTGCCGCTTTAATTGTCTCCTTTTTTCATGGGCGATCTTTGGATTTTTTTGAGGTTAGTTTTTTTTGGGTTTAATTTGATCTTTTTGTTTGATTTTTCACTTGTAATTTTGTGTTAATTTTTTTTTGGATTTTTGATGATTTTTTTTTTGTTTAAGGGTGTTGTGATTTTGGGCTGATTGATTGATTTTTGTGATTACTGGGTTAATTTGTGAGTAATTTGGGTAAAATCGATTGATTTTTGATGGTTAGGGTTTCAAATTTGTGAGTGTTGATGTAATTGTTAATTAGGGTTTGTTGGTTATGGGCCTTCTAGATTGGTGATGGATTAGTTAATGGATGATTGATTTTTAGGTGTGCAACATGATATTGTCATAATGTTGAAGAAATGATTAGTTTTTTTTTTTTTTGAATTTGTTGATTATTTTCATGCGTTGTATTTTATATTTCATATTTGGGATTGTAGAATTTGATGTATATCTGTTGTGGGTTTTATGACATGCATCATCACGGATTGCAGCGCTTATGAGTTATCGATTGAACTCGCGCTTCAGTCACACTGAAATCTCAGTGAGGGAAGATGGTTAGGGAGACAGGAGAAGATGAAAGGATTGCTGGTGTTTGTAATCTGACCGTTTCAATTTTGTTCATTTTTCAGAGTGTTTTATCCTTCACTTCTGGAATTTCAGTTGGACAGTTTGTTATTATCATCCTTCACTGTTGTTGTTACTATCATCTACTAGCTTATATTGGTGATATTATTGTGCTCAATATGGTGACTTGTTGGATTGGTTTGATTAAGATTGCTCTGCATTTCTTCTACATTGAACAAACTCTAATATGCGAGTAACGGCTTTTTTTACTGTTAAGTTGCCATGCTTCTTTGGAAACGTGAAGCATTTCTTCATTGCTGTTGAAATCTTTTTCTTTAAGTGACGATTAACAGTCTTGTTACATGGTTGCATCTGGTTATGACAGGGTTTCACTTTGTAAATTTTGTGTTGGTCATTACATTATATATTTTTTGGGGAAGGGCTGGATCATGATGCTGCTCTTAGCATGACATTGGTGGTCAATCACTAGCGTGATGGGTCCTTTTTTTTAAAAAAAATATTTATTTATTTATTATTATTATTCACTATTATATTTGGCTGGCTGTACTCATGAAATATAGCATCGGAGTTTTAAATTTTAATTAAATAAGTGTAGATACAACTATACAAGGGAAAATGGTGTATCTTTAGGAATCAAATGGAACTGTGAAATGGCTCCTCAGTTTCTGAGTTCTGACTTAATCTTTCAAGATTATAACTCCTCAGTTTCCATACACATGACTTCTACCTCTTTCCTTTCTTCTGTATTTTTTTTTGTTGATATGCTTGCATATGTTTTTTTTTTTTTTTTTTTTTTTTTTTAAAAAAAAAATAAATTATTTGAACATTCATGATTGTTAACTTTAATCTAATTTTCAATTGATTTCTCATTTCCTATTTCAGGAAATATTTTGTATTCGAGGACACGAGGGGTGTGTACTGAGGCAAGGGGGTTTATAAAAGGCAAATATCGAAGACACATTTGTTCTAGCATTTTGTTAACCTTTTGAGCATCATAACTGGTTATTATGGTGCTGAAGAAGAATGATCAAACTGCTGACCTTTGCCAGGCAGCTGATGACAGTGAGGATCCTAGTTCCACTTTGGTGGCTTCTGAGTGGAGGAGGGACCAGAGAGGTTTAGGACAGGGCAACGATGGCACTTTTATTAATAAAAAAACCAATATTGCGAATGAGGTTCTTTGCTCAGGTACAGATAAAAATGATAGAAGTGGGTCATGTGAGAATGGTCTAGTTAACAATCTGGGTCAAGGAGTTGAGGCAGTTGATTTGAGGAATAACCCTGGGAGTTCAGGTTTGGATTATGATATGGAAGACGGGCACCTTGAATCTAGAAAGAATAGTCAATCTTCAGATGCTACTATTCAGAGATTATCCGCATCACCTAGTGACAGTTTTCATGGCCAGAATGAGAAGTTCATGCAGTCAAATGATGTAAT